CCCAATAAGCGTTTTTGCAATTTGCATATAGGCAAAAACTCATAAAAACCCAAACATGTAAATGAGTTCATTTACAAATTGGAAGGAGATGAAGGGATGTGGGCGGTTGTTTGCTGCAAAATGCAGTCGTTTCTGAGTCTGCGATAAAGTTGAGAATTCCTCGTAGCTAGCCGCAACGAATTTCATTCCCAAGCAGAATTAAGATCGCACTTGAAAGTAGGATATCCTAGCGAAGTTCCAGCCTCGCACCTTATCCGGCAAGCGAAATAGCCACTTCGCTACAAATATCTTTGAAATGCCCTAAGTCTTGAAGCAAGTGCAAATCGAAATTCAGTTTAGGTATACGATTTCCCGTATAAGCGATAAACATGCTGACAAAATTTCAGCCACTATTTCCCCGCAAGTTTTCGAGTTAGTACAGTATCAAGTTGCAAACGCTGACGTGATCGTACGCGCTGCGCAAGCGTGCGCAACATCTGGATGTAAAATCTTTAGCTCGCACATGCACAGAGGATATCCCTGCGAATTTTCAGCTTCGTACCTTGCCTGCTTCACGAAATCGTTCCCTGCCAAAGAGATCTGCATATTCTTTCGGGGGCCCGTACGCAGGGTCTAGGCGCGTGTGAGCGGGAATTTTAAATGAGGAGAATGGCATACGGGGTAGGAACATATAACCAAAATTTCAGTTTCGCAGCTTTCCTGATTACTGAGACCAAAGTGGGTGATAAGGTCCGTTCGTTTCCGAACACACACGCACAGACGACCTCTCGACAATATGCGTTTTTGCTGGCTGTAGCAGCGCACAGCAAAAACGCATAAATGTACAGCAAAAGCGCATAAAAAAGGATGCAGACGGGGACCAATAGAGAACTTTTGAAACGTCGGTGGCACTCAATGTGTTGTCATAAATATGCGGTACAACACTTGTGATTCCGTGTTATAATGCAGCATTTTGTATGATATAGGTGATTATGACACAAAATGACAGACATGTTGCACTTGTGTCACTAGTGTTATGGAAAAGTGTAAGAAACAGAGGTAGAAAATTGAAAAAGCGATGAACAGATGTTTTGTTTTTTTATCCAAACATGTTAAATTCGAATTTTTTTGCTTTTTCGGACAGCCTTTTAACACCTCAGCGTGTGAGAGTCAATGAACATTTCACCACTCTCTTCAACCCAGGCTGGAACGCACGAGGCGGGCCGGTGCGATTATGCGTTTTTGCACTCTTCGTACCGTAGCAAGTTCGCAAGGAGTCAATGTAGCTATCCCTGTGAAATGCTGGCCCTCGAAGTTTGGGAAGTTAATTGTGCAGCTATGTGGTATGTCAGTTGTAGGTGTCGACTT